GCTACCCAATCCTACAAGCTTTCAAACTAGATTAATACTTTTATTTTTCAGTTCCAATGACATTGTTTTCTTATTTAAAATTGTGATGAATTTCCATTTGCTCATAGAATAAATAAAAACTCTCCAAATTCTATAAATCATTCTCTATATTGCAAAACCAATTTTCACCAGGACTTACCCATTTTAACAATGATGCATACAGGAAAAAAATGTTGTCATATATTTATTTAAAGATGTCTGTGAATTTATTTCCTAAATTCTTTTCATCCTATTTGTATGACCTATACTATAAAGGAATTCTAGATTAATTAATAGACATGTGGCCTTCTTATTTTTCGATCTGTATTTTATCAAACCTTCATGACTGCATCTCAAAGTCATTACTTTTATGCAAATCTATATAAGTTTAATTATTTCCTTGCTGTGCTTTGAAATTCTTTGTGTCTTTTGCAGCATTATCTGCTGTATTAACTTTAGTAAGACAATTCACATATTCATCAAAACTTCTTTCACAGGTTCAGCTGAAACTCACAGAATTTTCTTCACTTATTCTCCTTGTGGTGTCCCCTTGTGTTTCCAAAACAGAAGCACCTGATTCTCAGCAGAATGTGACTTGAGCCATAGTAGTAATACACTTCAGTTATCAAATTCTGTGTCACTGTTTCTCATTTGTCCTCCTCTTCTGAATCTAAGAAAGCTACAGGTGTTGATATGCAGAAGAGCGAGAGAAACAGAAACACTGTAAGAACAGATGAGATCTGTCTTCCCTGCTGTGTTAACTTAATAAGTGGAGAATGGGGGGACGATGCAAAAGAACTTGAGCATGAGATGAAGTGTCAAAACTACAGTGACCTGAACATGTGGAATCTGTCTGAGATAGCGCTAAGGGAGACCATGGTTAAGAGTGTTACTGGAGAAATACAGAGTCAGTTCATGTTGGTGTCCAAACAGGGTTATGGAATGTTTAAAATTTACGGTTATTAGGGAGACTGTTCTTTTTACAGTACTTGTCTTGCCTATCATTAGACTGAAAGTTTGCTTATAAAGAGCAGTTTTCTTCCAAAGCCTATCCCCAAATTTCTTTTTTAAAATGTATTTACTGATTATCAGTGATTTCTTGCTTTGGTTCTAAGTTCACCCATCCTGACTTACCCGTTCTATAGCAAGGGCAATTGTCTTATTGGCAAGACAAACTACTAAGTTTGGAAAGCTTTCACGGGAATATCACAATACGATGAATCAATTTTATATTAAATTAACAAGTTTTTACTTTGGATTTTACCTTTGCTTTTATTTATTCTTCTCTCATATAATACATCTGACTGTAGCCTTCCCTCTTACCTCCCCATCCCCCAGGTCCACTGTATTGCTGATAATCCACAGATACTGATGAAGGAACTATTTATTTAGAAATTGTGTTGGGGAGAAAAACTCACTGAACAGAATAGGCAAAATCATCACAGAGTACTGGAAGGCTGAGGTCCTGTCCTATGCTGCTCCTGCTGCCTGAGTCAGTCTGCACCATCCAAGCCCACAAGGGAGAGAAGGGCCAAGTATACATGCCTCCCAGCTTAAGCTAGTTCCAGGGCCATGCCCTAGGGACTGGTACTTCAAGGTCACAGGTAGAATAGGTACCCAATACATCTCCTCTTTTTTGTCTAAATCAGAAAGTTTTAATCTAATATAAAACTATATACAATTGAAACAATTATCAAGTATTGTTCAGGAGAGGGGAAAGGTAATAACATAAACAAAATAGAAATGCAACCTACAAGAACAACATCAAACAAGAAACTTATATTAGATTTTCATAAATGTCCAGACCATAGGTAAATGACAAATTACAGAGATAATTTCAATAGCTGTCCTGTCCTGAAGAATCTAACTTTAGTACCTAAAATGTTCCTAGGTAAGATATGAGAGCATTATAACTGTAATTATCTAGTCTTCAACCCCATCAAAGTCCTGAGAAGGAAAATAATATTACCTGAGAAAACAGGAAGTGCATGTAATTTCCAAAAATTGCAAGAATTGACAGAGATAGATGGCAGCCTGGACAATCATCTAATGTTTCTCAGCATCACTGGGAAACCGTTTTTGGCTACAGGCCTACAATATCTGACAGATCATTTTTAGAAGAAGGAATTTTGAAAGACCCTCTTACCCTATCTTGGCAAGGTTCAGTGGTCATTTTCCCTTGTGTTCTACTTGTCCAGAAAGGACAGCGTGCATACTGTCAGCAGCTGAGGCAAGGGCAGTATCCCACGTTTTGCCAAGAAGAAGACAAACTTCCATACAGAGTGTCTTTGAAGACCAACATTCTCTTAGGTGTAGATTGGTGCTAACAGGAACAATTGTGTCAAACATCAACAGAATTCTAAGTTATTGAAACATTTAAATGCTATATTCTCTAAGTCTATGAAGTGTTTGAAGATCATCTATCCATCTGACATATATGTCTGTAAATCTGGAAAACCCAATTAAAATAACTAGATATGACAAGCATGGGTGACTCTTAATCTGTAGATGTTCTCTATCTAAATAACTAATAACTAACATTTCATATCATCAAGGGAAACAATCTGTAAACATATGTACAGTATAAAGATATTTACCTCAAAATTGTAACAATATATAAAATATCTTACTCAGAGGAAAAATGTATAGTGCAATGTGACAACAATATCCTTAATTTGTATCAATATACAAAATATCTTAAACAGAGGTAGAACATACATGCAGCATGGCAAATGTAATTTTACATTTGTATCAATATACAAAATATTTCAAATAGGAGTAGGAACATATGTATAATATGACAATTATCGTTTTGAGTTTGTATCAATATATTATTATCTTAAATATTAGGAATAGAAAAATAGTTTATATTTGTATTGATATATAAGAATTCATATCAGTACAAATTATCTAAGGTTGATAATATGCTAAATTAGTTTACAGTATAATATATAAATTATAGGTTAAAAGGATATATTATTGAATCTACTTTAATCTAAAATACAACTATTAATCTTATATTTTACATTAATATAGATTTTGGTTTATTAATACAAATTTAGGATTAATTTTGTTATACTATATATATATGTATATATATATTTCTAATTTTGTTTAAGGTATTATGTTTATGCACTCATTTAAAATTGTAATATATAACTAAGAAATATAACTTAATAATCATCTTAATAGTCAAACTTATAGTCATGTTAGTTAGTTTTTATAGATATGCAAAGATATATTTCAGATAGAAAGGTAACCCTCAAATACCTACAGAATACTAAATAAAAAAAAATTATATGTTTAAAAATACTTAGACCTTTCTGGATAACGAGACATGTCTGCTACTGGCAACTCCAATTACTTCAAAAGAGGAAGATGGGCATCAAAGTCACTCCATGTAGAATTTATCTTTGGCTTGGCAAAAGTGGCCATTTGGGCAAGAAACTGCTCTTTCCTGGACTTCTTGACAATATGTTGTACAGACTGGATGTACAGAACCCACAGGAAAATGACCACTAAACTTTGCCTAAACAGGGCAAGATGGTCTTTCAGGTTCCTGCTTCACAGAATAAACTGCCAGACATTCTAAAGAACACAGAAGAAAACAATTAATGAACTTTGCTAATAGGCTGCACAGTCCTTCAGATTTCCTGCTTCACTAAAAAGTCTGCCAGAGACTTTAGGCCTGTAGGCTGAAGATGGATGCCCCAGTGTTGCAGAGGAACCTTGGATGATTGTCCAGGCAACTCAATGTCTCTTGTCATTTCTAAAATTTGGGAAGTTGCTTACAATGTTTACTCAGGTAATATTATATCCTTCTGGGATCTTTGATGGAATTGAAGACTAGATAGTTACAATTACTGTATTCCTTAATTATGACTAAAGGTAAATTAGATATAAAACTAGATTTACAAATATAGAATAGATGATAGGATATTTTCTTTAGTTTTACCAAATACAAGTAGATTAAATATTATAACTATAATTTTTGCTTGAAAAATGTTTTAATATATATAATTTACTGTGTTAAAAATAAAACCTTCCTTTTTAATTAGACAGAAAAGGGGAAGTGCTGTGGGATGCCTTTCTGTATGCTGTGAATATGTGTTGCTCTGATTGGTTGATAAATAAAGCTGTTTGGCCAATGATGAGGCAGAATAAGGTTAGGTGGTAGATTCAAACTGAAAATGGAGATGAAAAAGGGTAAAGTCACAGGAGATGCTGCAAGCTGCAGCCAAGAGAAACACGATGTAAGAGAACAGGTATTGCCATGAAGCCAAGTGACAAAACATAGATTAATAAGAGTGGTTTGAATTAAGTAGTAAGTGCTAGTTATCAATAAGCTTGAGCCATAGGCCATACAGTTTTTAATTAATATAAGCCTCTTTATGTTTACTTGAGACCAAGCAGCTGTGGGACTGGGTGGGACACAGGAAAACTTCTGCCTACACCACTGCTCCTTTATTTCCCTTCAGAAAAGAGCAGACCTTCCAAGAGTATCAATGGAACATGTAATAGCAAGATGCCATAAGACTAGGCACAAATCCTCATACCAAGGTTGTGCAACGCAACCCAGTAGGAAGAAAAGGGTCCCAAGAGCAGCCAACAAAGAAAGAGATATCCCCACTGCCACTATTAGAAGTCCCCCCCCCACACACAAAACTTTTCTAAAGAATAAATTTTTATTTTTTAAGAAGCAATTCATTATAACCATGTGTGCATCCAAAAAATAAAAACTAAAGCTGGGTGATAGTGGCTCATGTCTTTAATCCCAGCACTCAGGAGGCAGAGGTAGGTAGATCTTTGAGTTTGAGGCCAGTCTGGTCTACATAATGAGTTCCAAGACAGCCAGGACAACACAGAGAAACCCTGTCTCAAAAAAATTTAAGCAAAAGCAAACAAACAAATAAAAATCAAAAGAAGCATGGATAGTTTGGATTATCAAGGACAATCCTAGTAGTAGCTGAATGGATATATGCTCAGCAGTTGTTATTATGGATGACTTGGCACTTCAGGACCTCAAGGTAAGTGACAATCTTATCAGTATCACTTCGAAGGCAGTGCAACAGGTTACTAAGAGCAAAATGGTGAGTATCTTCATTGTCAGATCTCACTTCTGCTAGTCCCATCCAAGCAGGGTAGGCATTTTCTTCAGCTCCAGGATGAACCTAATCACCAGAAGGACATGTATTATTTCTAGTAATCAGTAGTTCTTTTGCCTTCGTGTGTGTGTGTGTGTGTGTGTGTGTGTGTATGTACTTGAATGTCCATATGAGGTGTGTATGCACATTAATTTTAAGGCCAGAGTTCAAATTGGATAAAATTTATCAGGTGCCTCATGCCTTCTCTCTCTCTCTCTCTCTCTCTCTCTCTCTCTCTCTCTCTCTCTCTCTCTCTTCCATAGGTTCTCTTTCTTTCACCAGGAACAAGGATTTGCGTATCTCTGACTCCCCAGTACTCAGATTATAAGCATAAACTACAATATCCATTTTAAATGTGAATTCAGGGAAATAAAAAGCAAGGAAGGGTTTTATATATTGATACATCTCTCTGGTCCCAGAACACATTCCCTATAATTTTGATTAAAGTTTGGTGAAAATTTAAAAATAAAAGGTTTTAGTCAAAAATCAAGGCACTGACCAAACAACTGTAAGACCTCTTTTCTGTTGAGTTTCCTAGTATATGAGGTTCTCAGTAAGGAACCTCAGAGAATAACTGTTGAAGCTGTGAACAAGTTGGAAACCTAAATTTAACTCTTGCAAATTACATATTTTCAGATTCAATTCTCACTACAACAAAATATATCTTTCCTGGAAGAAAAAGAAAGAAAAAAGAAAAGAGAGAAATGTAGAGAGAAGACTCACTCTGACAAGGATTCCTTTCATTTCCTCTAGAAGTTCTTGATTTTTTCCTCGACCTCTTTGATTTTCGACAGCATTGTCTCACAGGTCCCTTTACGAGCAGCCACTTCACATACTATGTGTTCCAGAGGGTGGTACCAGGCTCGTGAAATGCTGATCATCACTTTGAGAAGTTCATCTGACTAAGCAATCATGATTGAACATCAAGTTAAAATAAGAAATACAACATGGCAGATACATGTGGCAATGGCACGATCATGGTAAACTATAATATCTACATGATTTTAATAAGTGTTTAGAAAATGTTTGGGTAAATGACAAATTATAAAAATAGAAATTTTAAGCCACAGGATTACAGTTTACTAAAATAAAAGCAAATAATAAATAAATGATCATTTTGTTTTTCTGAGAAGCTGATCATGTTATGTTTTTCCTCTGCATTCTATCATCTGCCCTACTCATGAGGTCTTCTGTATTTGGTTATTTCCCTTCTCTTTGGAAAACCAAAGCTTTGCTGAGACTAGGTAGGACCTGATTCAAATAAAGACACCAGCGTTATCAGTGGCAAATGGTCTAAACCATTTTCATGCCAAAAAAACAAATCACTCATACCCACTTGTAATTTTTATATTATTCTAGGCTGACAACTACAAAAAGAAAACAATACATTCATTAATAGACTTTTCATGATCTACATTACTTCCTTTCCTATGCCGCTGAGAGAGCAGCCCATTTATGGGCATATACAAGACAAGAACATCCTTGCCTTTAACAACATTGATGTAAAAACCACTGAATTTTAGTCACACACACACACACACACACACACACACACACACACACACACACACACACACAGCCAGGTGTGTTTATTGCCAGGATCACACATGATATTCCTCACTGATTTAAAATACTTGCTGTGATGTCTCTTAGCAACTCTAGTAGTAATTATATTGGGCAGTAGGGAGGAATCCAAGTAAACATTGTTCTTTATATGTGTAAAGAACATAAAAGAAAGAAGGACAAATTGTCATGACAAAACAGGTTGCTGGGAGCACTGTGGCATGGTGATTAAGAGTGATATCTGTGGTGAATGAAGCACAGTTTCACATTCTTGTCTGGCATGCAAATGTTGTAAGGTTTGTGTAACCTTTGGAGCTTCTCTTTATAATCTTCCTAATGGTACCTTGTGTTGGTGGACTTTTGTGAGGACTAAATGCATCAGTGTCAACAGAGTGCTTTTTGAAGTGTCTAGCTTTGAGGAAATGTTCTCTTTCTTTCCTCTCTTCTTCCTTCAATATAATCACATTTTAATTAACGGGAATAGCTTCTATCTAGATGATAGATATTACTAATAAAATGATAGCAAACAGTTTATATGTATGATATGTGCACACACATTAGTTTAGTTTAAATTATACTGAGATTTTCTCTGACAAGGAGTCCCAGTGGATAGATCATCACAATTACACATTAGAGCTTGCAAAATAAGTAGACCTCATCAAAACAGGTTAGTCTGAGGCACATGATATAGTATGAGGAGAATTTCTTGTTCAGCTGATTTTCAGTTATGACAGGGAAGAAGGCAGAGCAGTCAGGAAAGATTGTACATGTAATGAAAAGCAAACAGAAATAGGGGTGTATTGAATTTCAGAAAATAAACTACATTCTGGTCAGTTAAGAAATATGTGGCAGTGGAGGAGCCTATTATAATAAATGCAACTCTATTCACATCTATTCCACATGTGCATGAATGTATATTCATCCTTTTTAGCCAGGCATGGCACTGGCTAAAAAATCTGTGTATGGACCATTTATGAATCTGAACTAGCATTAGTTTTATCTTTTAATTTGTTAACTATATAATGCTATTGTTTTTTGACTGTTCATTCTTCTCTGTTTTGTTTGATACATTATACACCTGAAATAACCTACAACACAGTAAACCTTGTGTACTGCTTCAGATGGTTTGGTGACAACCAGGAATGAAGATTTACTTGTGTCTGTTGGATTTGTTCATTGATTTCCAGAGTAGTAAGGGAAGCGGTATGACAGGTGCTGGAGTTCCTGGCTTTGTACTCCAGGTTTTTGGCAAAGTTTTCATCCTGAAAATAATAAAACATTTCAATTTATTGGCATTTCTGAATTAAATAATTGCACCTATGATAATTATATAAATGTATTTAATAGATGTGCAGTTTATAACAAACACTACCTGAAACTGAATAATTAAGCAAACATATTCTGCTTATATATTCTTCCCATTAGACATACAATTTCAATTTTAGTCTCAGTTTCTAATCTCCTAATTTCTTCCACTCTTTCTCTTGTTATTTTTGCCCTTCCTGAAAATTAATTTGGAAAGAAAGCTACACAATTACTAGCACTCTAAAACATTAAAGGTTTTACATGTCTTGTTTATGAGGTTAGCTGAATAACATAGACTAGTATATTAGTTAGGGTTTCTATTGCTGTGAAGAGACACCATGACCATGGCAACTCTTATAAGAGAAAAACATTTAATTGGTGTGGCTTACATTTTCCAAGGTTTAGTCCATTATCATCATAGTGGGGAGCATGGTGGCCGGGAGTATGGCGGTGTGCAGGCAGGCATGGTGTTGGCTATGTCTTGACTTGCAGGTAACAGGAAATAATCAGTCTCAGTGGTGGTGGTTTGAGCGAATATGAGACCTCAAAACCTACCTTCATAGTGACACACCATCTCCAACAAGGCCACGTCTCCTAATAGTACCACTTCCTTTCGGGGCTATGTTCTTTCAAACTGCCACTGTGGTGATATTTTATTTGTGCTGAAATGTGGTGATAATTTATTTTTATGTTAGTAAATAAAGTTTGCCTGGAGATCATAGTACACAACCAGTCATAAACAAAAGTCAGGCAGTAGTAGCACATGCCCTTAATCTGATCACATGGCAAGCAAAGTCTCTGTGTGTTCAAGGACACACTAGGGAACAGCCAAGTGTGGTGACACAGGCCTTTAATCCCAGTACCAACCATTGAGACCTAGAGATTTGTACAGACAAGCAGTGACAAGGAACTGAGGTAGCTTGGCTAAGAGCCAATGAGAAGGCAGAACAGTATGGCAATAATGGTGCAGGTTAGATAGGAAGAAGCTCACTTGGGCAGCTACAGCGGCATGGTGAGCTAAGGTTAGCTGGTGGCTCTCACTATTTCTCTGATCTCTACGGCTTTCACCCCTGTATTTGGCTCTGTGTTTCTTATTTAATAAGGCTGTTTAGAAATTTTTCTACACTGCCACAACTCTTGTAACTGTATTTATGAATCTATTATTTACTGTTGGTCTAAGATGGTATGTTTGTTCTAAGTATGTGCTGTGAAATTATACCTCTTTCTCAATTACCACTGAATCGTTATGTCTGGACAATACCAAGTTCATGATAAATTTACAAGGTAATTTTATTGATGGTGTCAAAATTAATTAAGAAAATTAGAGAACAACACAAATGGGAGACAGAAAGATTATAAGAGCCAGGAAAATGAGAAGTTTGCAGAGACTGTGTCTCTTAGAAAGGACAAGAAAGTTATACACATGCTACTACAACAATATGGCTGCCTCATTAAGATCTGAGCAGTAATAACACCAATAGACATACTAGAACCGAAGGGGGAAATCTCAGGGGCTCCCACCGCAAGACAAGGAACTCCTGGCAACTAAAGATGACTGATATAAGGGTAGACTTCCCTAGGGATGAACCCCTGAACCCTCTACTTATATCACATCAAGTGGCTAAAATCATGTACATATAAGCAATACAGCATTAAAATGTACTCAGCAGACTATGCGTGTATGTTATAATATATATCTATATATGTATATAAAATAAAACAATAACCATAGCTGTAGAAGCTGTTAATTTGAGAGGGATTACAGGGAACAAACATGGGAAGGGTAGAAGGAGGAAAATTATACAATTTTAACTAAAGTAAAACTATCTAGGCATGTTTTAAAGAAAACATATCAAAGAATGAGTGAAGATTAAAAGTATTATCTAATGTTTATATATGATCAATTGAGGATTTTGTTTAAGGTGTTTATTAAAGCAGAATATTTTCTACTAGCAATCATTGAATTTGTAAAATCAAAGATACAGGGAGTCATCTATCTCTCAAACTATATGTTGAGGAAATGTAATCATTACCTGCATTTTCACAGTGGAAAAGTCTTATTCCCCACTGAAGCTATACAGAACCAAATAATCTACCTGAAAAGTCAGGGGTTCCCAGATGGTTTAACGTTTGTGACCTCATTTGAAGGAATCGTATCTATGTGACTTGCTTTTTTATGGGAGAGATATTATGAATTTAAAAGATTGTATATGAAGAATACATGATGGAAAAAAAAACCCTAGCAAGTGAAAGGACAATGGGAATGCATATTCCTTACAAATCTATAGACATATTCTCCAAATTCCCAATTGTATATTGAAGTCATCTTTGTTTTCTCCACATTGATTGATTCTGAAAAGACCCTGTATCTCCAGTTGAAAGAGAATACATTTCTTTCCTAAACTAGCACTCCCTATGGCTTTAAAAATTTGTCCCTGGAAATCTATAGACACCATTCTCAGCACTTGAGGCTAACTAAACAGCTTTATGTTGTTTCTTCTTTACACGGCTTCAGATTAGTTCATTTCTTTTCCCTCCACACAATTCTCTGCAATGCACTTCTCTTATGCTCCACATTTGTGAAGTGAAGAAAGACTGTGGAGACTGGACCCTCCAAAACAAGACCAGAAAAACAGAGTTCTTCTCTGACCTCACTTTTAGGACTCAATGTCATAAATTAGAGTTGAGAGACAGCCACTTTTTACAAAAATAATAATAATAATAATAATAATAATAATAAAAATAAAAACACCTAATTATAGAAAATATCTATTTAATTAATTATTTAAAATCACTGTGATCTTTACAAGTCTCCGAGATTTCATCACATTTCCCATTCTACCTGTACCATTTCTCAATATCTGATACATTTTTTTAATCCTATGAAGGTATATTATCTGAAATTTTGTTCATGTTTTTTTTTTTCTGGTTTAATCTGTAGAATTTTTGAAGAGTCCTTTAGAGAAGAAACCAGAGGAAATTAGGTACTTACAAACTCCTCAGACATTTGCATGGTGAGGTTAGAGGTGTATTGAGCAATGACAGTTGCACGGTCAAGGAGTTCTTGAAGGAACAACTTCTTGTATCCTATGTCAAGGCACATGGGTCTGGAGACCACACATTCCCATAGGAGAAGGTTTGACACTAGCAGAAGCTGAATCATTCCTGCTACAAAGAGAGAAATTACACCCAGATGATTCTTTCAAATGCACTTATGTGTTAAAATGTCTAGCAAGCTATGTTTGTTCTTGGGTTCCTAGGCTGCATGATTTGCTTCTGTATAACTGCAGTGGGGCATAAGCTTTGTTTACTGTGAAGACATAAGTAATATTTTCCCAATGCATAGTTTGAGAGTTGGATCACTTCCCACATCTTTGACTTGATCTTGAAGTACTTTCCAACTTTGCAAACATTTGGAGCTTACATTGATACCGATCCACAATATTTAGTCCTCCAAATATTTTAATTGCTTGTGAGCTCATTTTAATTTATAACATCCTCCAGGAATTTTAAAACTGAATTTCTAATGCCAGCATTTTGGAAACTGATAATACAAGGAGCACAATTCTGTTTGCTTTATCTTCATGCCTGATGAGAATAGACACATGACCGATGAATTACTGACAATAAGGCTGAAGAGAGTCCTGTCATAAAAATGATGTCACAGCCTGGAATTTTCAGCTCACAATGATTATCTTGTGCATTTGCCATTTTACCAAACCATTTGATGTTTTTCCTTAGAACTTGATCTGTGAATACACTGGATATTTGTAATTTTCATCAAACTCTATTGGCTGTATAAGGTCGGCATGGGCAAGTGATTTCCCCACAGTCCTATTATAACTGCTGAGAGAGTTAGTACAGCAGTACCACAGAATTGTCACTTTACCTTTTCACATAGTGGACACCTATGGCCTTTCACTATGCATCTGTGTGTCAGGGACTTCCATGAACCTGTCTCCCTGCCACCCAACATCACTCTCACTAATTACAAGGAAAACTATTTTGCCTTTGTCTTTGATTACATAATTACAGACAATCTAGAAGACTTCACATTATCTATTTTCCTATTCTATAAAACACTTACCTTTAAAATATTTGAAAATGATCAATGATGATTTCATCAATCTGTCAGTTCAGGTGTGGTCAGAGACAGAACTCCAAAATATTAATATTTAAATCTCAAGAGGATGGAAACATATAAGTACCATGTTAAAATCTCCCCTCTTTCTTTTTTACTATATGCAGTATGTTATAATTAATATATACTCATTCAAATATTTATTAAGCCAAAAGAGTTATAGTTGCTGTAATGCAGTCCATGTTAAAATACACATTTCTTTAACACAGCAAGTAATGTTTAGACAGTTCGCTCATAATGCTTGTAGAATTTCAGCTACATTCCTGTTCATCTGAGCCCAAATAAAGGAGAAAAATCAGAAGCACACTTGTCCAAACAGGGCTTATTTAAATATGGCTGCAAAAACTAATGTTCCCAAAAAGAAAGAAACAGATCATATGATTCATCTGTATGAATTTTTAAAATATTTTTTATTTTTTGCAATGATAATATAATTATATTATTTCTCTTTTCTGTTACTACTTGAAACTCAGTCATATATCCCTCCTTGGTCTCTCAATTTTGTGGCTTCATTGTTCATTAAATGTAATTATATGCAAATGTATATACTTATGTACATATATATTCCAAAATGTAACGTGCTTAGTCTGTATAATTTTACTTGTATGTATGAATTCAGGGATTGGCATTTAGTATTGGATAACAAATTGGTTTGATCTTCCCTGGGGAATATCATTTCTCCTTCTCTTTTGAATATTTGTGACATTCCTAAACAATTTCTAAATTAAAGTATATTTCTAAAACAAAGTATATTTGGTAGAAAGTCAAGTTTCATACACCTTTCACAAATGCAGCAAACATATATCTAACACATAACTAGGCCAACATTGATGATTTGTGCCTAGAAAAAATAGCTTACTACCAATAGTCTAAATCCTGAAATATTCTAAAATTTGTGTAATAAACAACATATATAAATAATATTTTAGCTACAGAATAAAAGTAACAAGTTATTTTCATTTCATTAATTAATTTCCCTAAAACATGATGCAAGTAAGAATTTACATTGTATCTACAAAAAGAACTACAGCAAACTAAAGAATATGAGATCAAGAGAAATAATCTTTCTAGGGGAGAGCACATTGATTGTTTATGCAATACCCAATTGTCAGGCATGTTACATTCAAGTAGCAATATACAAACTGAGTAGCTTATATGTAAGAACATATATGTATATACACATACATGTATGCATGTAACGACAACTAATGAAAAAAGAGGTCATAAATTTCAAACAGAGCAAAGAGGGATATAGAAAAGTGTTTGGAAGGAGTAAGAGGAAGGGAGAAATATTCCAAGTATAATCTCAAAAGTAAAAAAGAATTTACTTTGTGTAACATGCATCTTAGGAGTGTTTATAGTATAAGATAAAATAAAACAGCAAATAATTCTATTCTTCATTTCATAAAATAAATTTTGGCTGTCATCAATTCATTTTTCATGAAAATACAGTCTACAAAGAAAAGGTGATTTGTTAAAACAAGCTTAATTTTCTTGTTGCTAAGAGAGGTGGCTTGTACTGGATTAGTGAAAGACACAAATGTTCTGTCATTACTTGCACTAGGCTTTATAACTGAACATTTATTCAAGTGCATTCAAGTGACCAAACACATGTAAAAGACCAAGAGACCAAAACATTGTAATTTATACTTGTGCAGTTGAGACAACTGCATCATTGAATCCTGTGTTCTTAGTAAAATATGATTTCTCAATTTAGGAAGCTAGTCATTTTTATTTGAGTAATATCTTGTTCAGAAAGGTGTTCAACAGCATTTCCTACTAGATATTTGTAAAAGTTCACCTTTTTATCCTCATGTCAATTAAGACCATATAAAATGTCTTGGGGCATTGTCATGTTTCTTCATGACAGAGACAGTCAGTTCTCAATGAGAACCACTGTCCTCAAAGATTACAGTGGAATTTTATTCTAGAAAGTTATTCCTCTGTTCTCTTGTGTTTGGTGTCTGCATGTGAGGCATGAACAAATTTCAATTTATAATAGACATAGCACCAATGATGCCAAAGAATTTTAGTATTATCCAAACCCTTCTTGGTGAAATAATGCATCGATAAAACTTACTTAAAGGAACATGAATGAAGGGCTACTTACAGGAACATGGTTGACTCCAAGACAGCTGCATTTCTGAGAAGTTGCTCTTCAGTGTCCTCAGCAACTCTGAAAAGCTGCTTCACCTGAGTTCTGCTTTAACTGTTCTCTTACTTGCTATCTATACAAACAGACAGCCCCCAAAGACAGGCAGAGCTGAAAGGCAGAGGGAAGCAATGGCTAGGAGAGAGTGCCATCCTCTACTCCTCAGGAAGTATTTATATTCTCTTTAGCATTGCCACACCCTCAAATATTGTTTTGCTTTTGGCCATAGAATCTCTATCATTCAAATTATTTTGTAAGTCATCAAAGTTATCTCTGTCCTGAGATGACTCATATTTTTGCCTGTCGGGAGAAGCACACTTATTCATTAATACCTTTCCCTTAGTTCAGGGTCTCATGTTCTTCCTGTGACAGGAAGAATGTGATGTCTTCAATGTCCTCTAAGTTCTCAGAAGTCTGTAAGTGCATATGAATCTTTTCCAGTATTGGGCCAACATACCACAGTCATAGTCAATTGTTCTTGACATTTTTGCCATGAATCTTTTTGCAAGTAACTAGCAAACACTGTTTCCACAAAATCAATGACAGTTTAAGTAATCTACAGGATGAAAAATAAATGTTTAGAAGGCATGTTGACAGGAATGTCCTGTCCATTTCTCAAAACTCTGATTGTAGTAACACTATTGGGCCCTATGTTAGGGGGCCCATGTTTTTGCATTCTCTTGGAATATAAAACACAAGTGTCCTCATGCAAGATTGGGCTTAAAACATTTCAGAGAATTGTTCCTTGCAACTATAACTGCTATTTCACTGCTTGCCAACCGGACACAGTTTCCAAGTTTGATGACAACTTTAACATATGAATAACTAGTCCTCCTGAAACAGCTTTCATGGTACTCTTTGGTACTATGAAAATAATTCACCAGATCACTTTAAGACTAATTATTTTTCATATCATAAAATCAGACCATGTAATTTCTTAAGCAGTGCCGTCTAACCATTTAGTTATAGTGTGCAGTCAACAAGAGTATCAACAGCATGTATGGATTATGTGCTTCATGTGCCTCCCATTTCAATTAATCTTAGGGGAGAAACTGATCCCAGACAGTGAAATTTTGCACAATAAACTTATGACTTCAAGCATAGTTTTCCCCAGACACTCTGAGTATCTTCTTACAGATTCTTTAACTCCTATCTTTATTGTTCTTCTTATGTACTTCCAAAACAGTAAGCAAGTAGAAGTTGGAATTTTCATTGGATAATGAAAATTTTACAGATGCTGGCTTGATGCTAGATTTAAGACAGTGTAAATTGTCATTGGGATTCAGTGGGGATAATAAAAAATGTTCTAATACAGTACAAAATAGGATTCAAACATGTATCAACTCTTTCCTCCAGAAAGCAAGTTGACGAGTTCAGCTTGGATGGGAGACACTGGTTTACTTAGTTGTCTGTACTCTACCATTATTCTGTCCAAACATCAGTTTCCTCATCCTGCTATGTTGAATTAACTACCGATCTGACTAGATGGAGTTACCAACTCAACTAGATGCACCAACTAGTTGAGTTGGTGCATATTCCAGTAAGAACACAGGAAGAATTGGAGCCCATTCCACTTCACCTAACCCAGTGTTCCTCCAGCTTTCTTGTGGCTTCTAACATACTCAGGAACTGTCTGTGGGCTACTGACTAAAGATGTGTGTGGAAAGGACCCAGAGAAAGAGTGGGAAATGTTAACTTAACCAAAGTCCCGTTTCTCAAGTTATATAAGATTGACTTACAGTACACTCACAGGCAAAACTAGACAAATGTGGTAAAAAGCATATACCAGTGGTTCATTCATTTTTCAGAATAATTATTTCCAGGAAGAAAAGTTCACAGAATAATCTAATACAGAGATAAGTGTCCACAC